TTCATGCAGTTCATTGGCAATCCTTGAATTATGCAAGTCCATCTTTTAGTCTATACTTTCACACTTTGATGCCAGCCTTCAATATTAAATAACAACCAACCTAATGGCGAAAGGAGAGGGCTCAGGGAAGCAAGCCCATGTGAGCAAAGAAGTGGTTCAGGGTTTGGGGTTGAAAATGCTTCAGGATCCTTCCTTTGAAAGATAGCAGTACAGCTATTTCCCAACACAGAGACATAACCACATGCTGCTTACTGTGCAACATGAGGAACTGTAGCAGCTGATTTAGCAGCTGAATTATAATTACTCCCTTGCCTAATTCATTCTGGCTCTGTCTTGGGTGGGGTGGGGGAGAAGGAGGCTAAAGCCACAGCTGGGAGGAGCAAATTGTTGCCGATCTTTGACCCTCAACACCGCACATAGTTGGGTTATGTGGCAGTGCAGAGAGACTGAACTACAACCTGTGTTCCTCCCTCTGCGAGCCTTTATCCTTGAAAGAAATGCTGGCTATTGTGAAGGAATGCAGGAGTAATTGGGGATAGAAAGAGGTGTGTAGGGCATGCTTCCCTGCCACGTACAAAGTGAGATAGCAGCACATATTGTGAAAGCAGATGCAAAAAAGCCTAGAAACCATTCAGCAAATAAGTTGGTGAAACAATGCAAGTAGCCTAAGAAAGTAACATCTCTGTGTTGCAGAGAGAATGAATTCTTAAGATAGCCCTGCTGTGAAGAATACCCTGCGTTTGGCAAGTGCCTGTTTGCTCTCACCACACGTGAAATGGTTGAGCAGCTTGAGACACAGGAGTCTGCACTATTTTCCAAAAATCATTGAGGACAGAGAGAGCAGCTTGATCATAAACAAATAAATATTAGATGCTGCACCACCTTCTTTAACATATGCCCACTGAATGTTGGCTTGCTTTGCGGCTTGTTTTGCAGTCAAAAATGGCTGTCAGAAGCCTTGTCAGGATCCATCCTGGCTCTCCATACAATGGTTTGGAGAATCTATGTTTTGAAAAAAGTGTTTTTGGGAACATGCCTATGGAGTACACTCAGCTTGGTGCTTCAGTGTTAAACAGAGCTGCAAAATATACTTGTAAGAAGGTGTACAATAATGCCTGGAAACTTCTCCATGCTCATGCTACACTGATTGTGATATGTGTACAACAGTGCTGGATTTCCGGCATCTCTCATATGGACAAGTAGACCACTGCTGAGAGCTATGCATGCATCTGCCATGCAATTTCTAAGTATCAGGTACACTGATGAGCAGAGCTAGAATTTAAAATGCCATGGCCCATACTCCAGTACATTTGTTTAGAGAGATCATCAAAGCCAGCTCCACCTTGATCAGCACTGGCCCTGCTGCTTTCTTGGCAGATTCTCTCATATTTGCATGTTCAGATGTTGACATTTCTGAACAAGAGCCAAACCCTAGCAAACTTTTGTTTACCACCTGAAATCACAAAGCACAAACTGTGTCCTTCTTGCTCATTAACCCTTCAATGTGGATTTTTTTAATGTTTTAAATAAAGTTTTGAATATTTGTACATTTATGGCACAATTTTATGAACGTTTTAGTCAGGAAACGTCTACAGCTCTCAGCATGCCCCAACTAACCATGGCTGGCTAGGCCATGCAGGGAATTGCATGCCTTTTTCCTCTCTTTGTTGCTAGTTGTTAACATATATAATTGCATAGTTAAAAGCAGAGGCAGTGATAAAAAGTGGCTTAATTCCTTTTTCTCAAAGGAAAAGAGACGGATGACCAAATAAGAAACTCTTCCCTGTAACCATGTTCTCAGAAACAGTTTTCTTAACACAGATTCTCCCTATCAACTTATGTTTCCAGGAGGGATCCTGGCAAAGTTTCTGACTGGCATTTCTACCATCTGCAAAACAGGCTGAAATTCGAGGGACGCAGGTTAAAGAGCATTACTTCAGTGGGATAACTGTGTCTGCATTTGTTGAGAAAGTAGTCAGTATTGGAAAAGAATCTGGTGGTGATAGAGCATGGGCTGATGGTACAGGTTTTATCATAATGCATTTATATTAATCTGTTGAGCAACTGCTTTATTTATTTAAAGCATTTAAAATATACTGCTCCATATCTAGACAGATTCCAGAGCAGTGAACAATAAAAACACAAATGAAAGGATAAAAACAATGCATTAAAAAGATTAACATTAGAGCTGTGGCTTGTCAATAAGGTAGTTTGCTTAGCACAAGAATGTCTTCAGCAGGCACTGAAAACAGCACAATGTCAGAGGCTGGCTGACCTCCAGAAGCAGGGAGTTCCAGAAGTGGAGCTGCCACACTGAAGGCTCTTCTTCACCCTGACCCGATCAGGTCGCAGGTGCACGTGGAACTTCTACGGGAATGTCCCCTAATGAACTCTGTGTGATGGGGTGTGACAGTGGTCTTGAGCTCCTGTGAGCAAGGTCTGTTTGCCCAGGCACTGCCAGGGACCAGGTTTGAGGTAGAGCACATAACAGAGGACAGCATGGCAGTCTGATCCATGCTTTTATGTCCAGCATGGATCCATGCTTTTATGTCCAGGTGCCATGTCGAGACTCAGGAGGACATGAAGAAGTGCAGCGATGGTAATATTTAGAGGGGAAATGGAAGCCACAAAAAGTTTAACTCTGTGACTAGGCAGGTTGGTAAGGGAGAAGGTGTTCTATCAGGTATCTTGGTCCTACAGTATTGAGGTCTTTGCATGTTAGTACCATAATCTTAAACTTGGCCAGGTGGCAATTAGCACCCATTTTGGGTATGATTCTGCTCATCTCACATCAAAAAAGATTATTCGAAGTGCAGAAAGAACTACCAAAATGATGCCATGAAAAAGGGGCAATTTGCTTTGGGATTTTTTTTAATTTAGAAAACAGTCTAAGGGTGAAGGTGGACTATAATTGAGGTTTAGAAAATGATGGGATTTGGAGAAACATAATGGGAGTGTTCTGAGATTGAATGGCACTGGTTCCAGAAAACATGGAGCATATTTTCATACAAGGACACAAGGTTAACTGAGGGAATTTGTTTTAAAAATCTGTAGATAATGAACATGTCTGGAGTGTGGGTGAAACAGCTACCACTCCTACCTCTATGTGTTCATTGCAACAAGACTTTCAAATGGACATGAACCACAGGAGTGGATCCTCACTATGTATTCACTGTCCATGGATTTTGAATACCTGAAAAGGGAGAATACATGGTGATAGACACTGGTTTAGATGTATTTTAAAAGTTATTAGAGATGTGAAGACTTGAAGGGTGGAACACCATACAATAATCACTCCTCCCATTTCCCTCAAATTCTTTTTTCCTCAGGGCCTCTCCCCCCGCCCAAGGAAATGAAGGGATGATGGTTCTATAAACAGCTTCTACACAAGATTGAGAAGTGGGGTCGCTGTGTTCAAAGGCAGCATAAATCTCTGAACAACAGAAGTTGTTCAGAGTTGTCGGCTGATTGCAGTGGGCTTCCTGGGAGCATCTGGTGGGCTGCTGTTTGAGAACAGTGATCCACCAGGGCTCTTGGTGTGTTCTTATGGCAAACGGCACCTGTGTTATTTTTTCTCTAGCAACCTGAAGCTTGGATGTACTCAATCCAGTGCGGCAGCTATGTAATTTGGACTTTAATGGTCTTATGGAGGGCCATGTTTATTACTTCAGTTGTAAAGTGCTCAGCTGAACTTTCCCCAGCCCCTCTTTTGATTTTAAAACTGTTTCTACACTCCTGATATGTTGTGGAATACAGTAGTATGGATGCTTTTGGCTTTCTTCTTCAGTGAAAGATCTTTACACTTGATGTTCTTTCAAGTCTTCCAAATCTCAGCTAGCACAAAACTTAGTGCTGAGCATCAACTGGGACAACTTAAAAGGGAATTAGACAGATCAATGAAGATCAAGGTTATCAATGGCTATTAGTCCTGATTTCAATTCTACTTGAATTTTGAGCATACCTGTATATTGTATAGGACTGGTGGCGGGGGCAAATCCCTTGAAAAGGAAAAAAAGTATAAAGAGTAAACATTGCTGTTAAAGCAACACCAGCTTAATATGGTTATTTGGATCGACTAAAACATCACCATTCTTTCCATTTTATCAGAACTCTTCTATAGGCCGGATGCTAAACAAAAACAAACAGGCAAAAAAGGGACTGGAAGAAAAAATGTTTGTGAGCCTGATGGAAAGTTATTCTTTCTCTCTCCATCTCCTACCCTTTCCCTTTCTCCACCCTTCTCAATTATTGTTTGCTTAACCTCTTATCCCAGGGGTGCAAAACTTCTTTCAAATCCCATTAGCTCTTTGGGCTACATGGTAGTTGGGCTGGAAGTACAAAGGACAGGGCGAAGCCCACTTCTCAAGATACACGAAATGCCAGCACGTTTTAGTTTAAAACTCTTTCTGTCTCTTTCTCCTATTGCTTAGGAGAACCATTCCATTCTTCTATAATGGAAGGGGGGGGGGTTGGGGTCAGGGAAAGGGGCATGACCTTCTGGGTTCCTGCGCGAGTGCTCCTTTGGCTTCTGCGCTTGCATTTCTGCACGCACAAGCATGCCTGGTGAACTTGAAAACTTGGCGGCTTGGTCCGGACCCACCTTGATGCGTTAATTTGGAATCTCTGCACTGCAGCGGGCACTCTACGATCCCATGTCTGTTGCTTTGGGATTTCTTTTTTGTGTTGAAAATTCTGATGGGCCAAGGTAGCTAGCCACCAGCAATTTGTGCCCCGCTCCTTCCCCTGCTGTTACTCTTCCAGAAGGAAGCGGCTTCGGACCTTTTCGTTCGGAAAAGAAACGCTCCCCGCGCTCCAACTTTTATTGGGACTTCCAGAGACCAGGGTGGGACTAGGCTTCCAGGATTTGCTAAAAGTCCGCGGCGGGGGGGGGGGGGGGGAGCGACCTCCTGTCCCTGCCCAGAGGGGAGGGAAGAAAGGAGCGCGATAAGCAGCAGCGCGTGGAGCCACAACTGCCGAAGACGTCCCGGGCGCGCACCGCACCACACCGCACCGCCTCGTCGGCTCCTGCTGGCCAGGAAAGCCAGGGCGCGTGCGTGCCTTCACGTTCGGGTTAACTCTTTCGCGGCGGCGCGGCGCTGAAGCTGCTCGCCGCCTCTTCGCTCCAGTGGCGCAGACAGACAGGCAAGCAAGCGAGCGGGGCAAAGCCATCCATCAGCTGGCCACGATGCCTCCCCTCGTCGCTGCTTGGCGGCTCCTGGTCGCCGCGGTGGGAATGGCCGCGTTCGTCGACCCTCTCCATGCCGAAAGAGCCTCGACGGGGGCGCCTTTCGCTCGGGATGTCTTGACAGCCTTCGGAGGCAACCGGAGTCTCTCGGCCGGGCAGGTCAACCAAATGCTGCAGAAGCTGGGAGCCGCGCATAGGCTGGCGAACTCGCTGGGCGGATGGCTGGACCTGCTGCGCTATAACCAGGTAGGACGACAGCCGTGTTTGCGCAGCGCTTGAAACTTGGCTGAGCCCTTGGCAGGCTTCCTGATGGTGCCTCTCTTTTTCCCACTTTACAGAGAGGGGGACTGAGGCAGAGGGACTGACTCGATCCATTAAACATATCTGCGCTGGTCCATGAGAAAGACTACTGTATTTCATTCTCTCTCGCTCTCAAAAATCCATATTCTTTATCAGGACCAGCTAATATGCCAGGAAAGAGCGTGGAAAAGTTTCACGTTTCCAACTCTAAAATCTCTTTTGCAGAATTTTTGGAATCCATTCTTTTGGAACAAAGAAAATGGCTTTGGGGATTTTCTTTGGGGTTGCCATTTGTTTAAAAATGATTTGATTAATCTATTGACTAAATTTCCATATATCTCGCAATAATATTTCTATAATGTAACTGTATGCCTTCAAGTTTAATCCAAGGATTAAGAGTAGCAAATCTATCAACTAACTTTTAGTTACTGCAATAGTTTAACGAATTAGCATGAGTTTGTTACTTTTCCTTATTAGAGATCAAATCTGTGGTAATGATGATGTGAAGTTTATGGTGGAGCAGCTGCAGCATCCAAAAGCTTGCTGAGCAAACTGTAGCTGTGGTGAGACATCTGTGGCTTAGGTCACTTTTTCCATCCTCCCCCATTTAATTTCTTCTCTCCCTCATGCCTTCCACTGCAGTGGGACAAAGTTAGCTATGTTAGCTCTTTGGGGGCATGCCAGAGCAATGCCAGGGTTAGGATCATACGGTTTCACACATGCCCTTTTCCCACCCTCAAGTGTCCCACATTGCCGTGGGACTTTCTGCCACTGTGCCAGCAGATTTCTGATGGCTCCAGGTCCACTGGCAGGCCTTGTCTTCTGATGGAGCCACATGTTCCCCTCATCAAAGGGCCCCTTCCCAGAGCGTTAGTTATAGGACGGTTCCCTCACCTTGTTTTTTGATGGTGCACGTGTCTTAGAAGTGTGCAACAATGGGGTATGCTTCTTTCGGCAAATGCATTAGGTGCACTGTTTAAGCTTGTCCTTCTCATGTTTAGTGTGGTTAAAGGGTAGAATTTTACTCACCCCCGTTGGAATGCGTGTCAATAGAAAAACATGAATGGGCTGGTTCACATGATCAAACAGATCTGTTTAGCAGGCCTATTTAAGCCATGGTGGGCTGCAGAATGGTTGGGTAGACATTCTGAATATTAATCTTGATATACAATGGAAATTCAGAGAATGCATTATGTGAGAGTTATTCTAATATCATGGTCCTCAGGTTCTCAGGTTCTCATGACATGACAAGCTGCAGCTGGCTATTGAATATGGAAATAAATGATGGTGAGCAGTCTTGATTGTGTGAACTGATTTATTATTCCTTGAGGGTTGAGGAGCTAGCTGTGTTATTCACTCATGCTTCAATCTGTATAGCAGGGGTAGGGAATCTCTTCAGCCCATGGGCCTAATTCAGCTTTGGAGAAGTTCTTGGGGCAGTATTCCAGCAGGGGGTGCATCTGGAGTCCCAGGGGAAGAGCCTAAGACAAAAGCTGCCAGCATGTTTACAGCTCTTATTTTCATCAAATAGGAGAGCCAGTGTGGTGTGGTGGCTGGAATTTTGGACTGGGGACCCAGGAGATCTGGGTTTCAACCATGGCCATGGAGTTCACAGAGTAACTTGGGGGCAGTCACAGACCTACCTCACAGGGTTGTTTTTGTGGGGATGAAGGGCAATTCTGTGTACTGCCTTGGGTTCCTCTCAGGAGGAAGAAGTGTGGATAGAAATGCAATTTAACAACAACAGTAGCAGCAAAGCTCAGAAGAGACCTTTCAACCTTTTAGAATGGGGAGAAAAGTGCACAAAAGTCAGGAAATTGTGAAATGATCAGGGACCAAGGGAAATGGGGTGGAGCCAGGAGAAAGGGGCATGGCCATCTCAGAAACTACGGAGGACCAGAACTGGCTTCTGAAGCGGTGGTTTCATAGCTGTGCATTGACTCCTAAGCACTCTATATTTCCGCTTTGCCCAACCTGTTGTCCACCAGATGTGCTGGATTCTAACTCTCAGCAGCCCCAGTCAGAATGGTCAATACTCAGGAACATTGGTAGTTGTAGTCTAAAACATCTGGAGGGTACTAAGTTGGGGAAGACTCCACGCTTCAGGGAGTTTTCATTGGCACTCTGAATATGGCAAAGGAGCAAGAGGTCAGGGGTTTACAAGGAGTTAGAGGCTAGGAAGGAGTTAGTGGCAGGGGAGAATGCGCATTGATGGTGCTCCATAGCTTGATGGTGCTGGCGTAAATCCACACTGTGGACCAATGTGGTGGACCAATGTGGGTGTGATGGGGTGTGACAGTGGTCTTGAGCTCCTGTGAGCAAGGTCTGTTTGCCCAGGCACTGCCAGGAACCAGGTTTGAGGTTGAGCACATAACAGAGGACAGCATGGCAGTCTGATCCATGCTTTTATGTCCAGCATGGATCCATGCTTTTATGTCCAGGTGCCATGTCGAGATTCAGGAGGACATGAAGAAGCGCAGCGATGGTAAGATTTAGAGTGGAAATGGTAGCCACAAACAGTTTAAACTCACACATTTCTGATGACAACAGCAACAACTCTTCTACCTTAAAGCTGGTGTTGGTAGATGTGTTGTACTGCAACTCTCAGCCTCTTCCAATCAGTAAGGTCAGAGGGAAATGCAGTAAGAAATCAATTAGAACTGGATGGGATGCAAAAGAAGCACAGTGGCTCTTTATAAGAGCAGGCATAGGTGATAGCCCCAGTGGTTTTATTATATACAGCAGCCACTCTGTGCAATGAAACAATGCAATATAATGAACTGAACCTTTTGTCAACCTTCCCAACCTGGCACTGTCCACAGCTTTTTGACTTCAACTCTCAATAGCCCCTGTCAGCATGTTCAGTAATCAGAGAAGCTGGGCATTGCAATCCAAAATAGGTAGAGAGCACCAGGTAGCGAAAACTGTATTATAATCTTCCAAAAGTTTGAGGGCGATAAAATGAATAGCATGGCTACCCATGTGCCCTTCTCCCTTGACCCAGTGACCATAGGTGGGATAGAATAAATGAAGGCATGTGCACAGGAAAGAGGACAGTGCTACCGCATGCCAGGTATTTGGGACTACAACTCCCATCAGCACATGCCAGCATGGTAAGGAGTAATGATTGATGAGGGTTGCATAAGCCTGCCTTAGGCCATAATAATTTTTTAGTCTTTCAGGTGCCACCTGATGTTGTTACTACAATATAGACATAACACAGATACCCCTCCAGAAATAGAACAAAGTGTATTGGCATTACTTTGGAAGGGGAGATTGATTGAACAAAGTAATACATCCACTCCCTTACCCCCAGAAAAAGAAGCATTACATTGGAGCCCTATACATGTTAGCTCAAAAGTAAGACCCACTGAGTTCTGTGGGCTTTTCTCTAAAGAAAGAACATTTAGAAATGTAAATTCAAACCACCAGTGCAAAGAACTTAGACAAGGTTAGCTCAGTCTGTCCTTGGAGGAACACTCATTTTGGTTCATTTGCTTACATGCCAGAGTCCATGTACTGGTTAAAAGTTCCCAGGGAGGGAACAGTTGAGATCTTTGTACACCTCAGGCTGTTTTAATCTTTGTTCTATTCAGGATTTAAGTTTCCACAAAATTCAGTTGGGCAAATGGATGGACATATCACCTGATGAGGGGTGAAGAAGGACCGACTTCTGACCGTTTGAGGCTTGGGCAGAAAAGAGCACATGCCAGAAGCAGATGTGCCACACAATGTTCAATAAGCTCAGTTCAAATAGATCACACACTGGACTGTATATGGCATGTTTGCTTTTATTCATACCATCTTTCTGTTATTCCTGGCCAGCATTTAATTTGGATGAGGCTGCTGGTCTGTGTGTGTTGCTGAAACTTGGCTGGGTAAAGTTTTGAGTTCAAATTCTTTCTTCTGAACTAAGCAAAACAACAGTATAGGGGTGATAATTGGGCCCACTTCTAGACAGACAGCTCCTAACACTGCAAGTCAAATGATGTTGTGCAGCAATTTGGTCATTCCCCCATAATTTTCTATGGTAAGGAAAAAGACAAAAGAAGTTTTGGTCAAACATACTTGCAGTATTGGGCTTCCAAGGGAAAAATGCCATCTGGATCCCCCATAAAATTCCATTAACAAAAGAGGACAGTTGCATAATAAAAGCAACTTACTCCCATTTTTTTTCTGCGAAAGAGCACTTCCAGATTTGAACTTCATCTTAAATGAAGAAAACTAGCTAATTTTCATTTAGGACCATTACAAAATAGGCCTACACAGAAGTAAATCCCATTGAAGTCAATGGGGCTTATTCACAGGTAAGTGAGCCTTCCCTAGCCAGGTGCCTTCGAGTTGATTTAGATCCATTATTACGAGCCAGCATGGTAATTGGCTAGGGAGAATGGCAGATATAGTTCATCATGTAGGAATGAAACCATTCTTGCTGGTGTAGCAATTGCAGCTTTACTCCTTTTTTAATATTGCAAAAAGCTTGCCTAGGACTCCTATGAACTAACTACTTTTTATTAACTTTGTGGCCTTCACTGAACTGAACATTCTTCCTTCCTCCTTCCTTTTGAGCTATAAATTGGGCTTCTCTCAGCTAATGCTATGCAGTTGGGTTAGACCTCAGCTCCCTTCAGGCTCAGCCATTGTGGTCAATGGTTCGGAATCCTGGGCATTGTGGAGGATACAGGTTCAGGAAAACTGCTGCAAACCACTATTTACATATCAGGTCATGCAGAAATGCAGTAAAAACTGATGGCACTTGATGGTATCCTTATATTGTTGACTCAACACATAGTACTTCATGTAGGAACCATAATCCATATTTAAAAGGGTGTAGCAAAGAACAGAAGATGGGAAGGGTGGTAAAAGTCAAAGCTGACACATGAAATAATACTGTGTAGATGTACTTAAACAAATCGGGCACCACACCAGTCATATAAACATCCACC